CCTACAATCTCTTAAGGCTGCGAGAAGTGTTGACTTCAGCCCGAAAATTATGTTCCTTTTCCGCCGTTGAAGCCTTGAGAATCACAGTATATCCGTGACATACAGGGTTGCTTTTACAAGAAACCCCGTTCGGCCGCAGATGTGTACTTGTTCAAACCCCTCATTCCGACTTCGCCGGAGTTGGCTGTGCAGCCTGCCCGTGAACTCCCGCGGACTGATGAGATGCCTTTGGGTGCCGGCCCTGTGGACATTCGGGCAGTTTCTATCCAAGTTGTCCCGCTAGCTATGCCGCGGATGCATGGCATAGTACAGTTGTGAGCTGGAAGTGGCCCTATCCTTCCGGCCTGTTTGTCCTCTTCCCTGTACGGTGGCCGATCAAAGATTTGGAATTATTTTTGATGGGGTGCGACCGTACCTCACTCCAGGGTATATTCCCACTCCACATCCAATATATATTTACTATATCTCTGTAAATCAACAGTCCAATACAACGCATTGATGTAGATATATATATATCCAACTGCGGGTCAAGTTCACTTACCATGTGAAGAATGTTACACAAACACAAACAATCAATCTTGATTGTTTTTTTCGGACAATATTTAACAGTAGTCACTTCTGCAAGTATTTTCCAATTTCTCCATTGATTGTGTAATTTTTTTATTGAAAACTTGGAGGATTCCATAGGTTTTCCATGATTCTCGATGTCTAGAGTCCCGTACATGAGACTCCTGGATGGACTTGAAATTTTCAGGGCAAACATGCGATGTAGCAAACAAATCGTGTATGTAGCAAGAGGACTTTCGGGAATTGACCGAAGATCTATGAACAGCGCTTAATGATATGGTCGGCGGTGTGGATGGGAGAGTTTCAATTTGCACCCGCAGCGCTCGGACTTCCTCATGTAGCATCTCATTCTGGTTGCGGATGATGTTCTGATCATGCTTGACCTCCTCTAGGTCAGCGTTGGTGGATTCGATGAGCGTGGTTTAAACTGAGAAGCTGGAGTGGGTTTCTTGGGGGTAGAGTAATCTGTAATAGGTATAGCGTGTTTCGGGACAGGATTCTAGAAAGAGTCTCTGTGCGCAAGTGGTGAAACTGATTTCGATCCTCCCTGTACCTTAGCTAGCGTGTAAATGATTCCCTTCTGTCTCTTTGCCTGTTGAAGAACACTCCCATTTTCTTCCGACCATGTTGTTGCCGTCTTATCGTTTTTTGGATCAGCCTCCATTAGGCCAAGGAGATCTTTCAGACTCAATTGAATCACATGAGCAAGACACGGAATCCGTACGATTTCAGTGAAATTAGGAAGCTCCAACCGTTCGATTGAATCACATAGACTATCGACTAAGGTCTTATTATTTGACGCATTGTCTGTAGTAATCGCAATCACTCGATTGGTAATCTGCTGTTGCTGAAGAACCTCAGGGAGAACGTCTGCGAGATAGGAGCCTGTATGCTGGCCGTGAATTGGCATGAAACCTAGGAGTATCTCATGATAATCCCAATTTATATCCACGAAATAGCCTGTGATTGCCATAAATGCCTGTTGGAAGGGCGAGGCCCAACAATCAAGGGCAATTGATAGCTTCGCTCCGGCTGGGAGAAGAGAAAGGAGCTTTTGCTGCTCTGTATGGACGATTGACTGGAGCCGACGCCGCGCGGTCTTTGGTGATAGAAGGGTGAGCTTTTGTTGAGAAAGCTGAGCCTCTGTAATTAGATCTTCAAAGTCTTTATGCCGGAGGATCTAAAATGGAAGGCGTGAGTTCGCTATAAATTTGACTTGGGCTCTTTCAAATCGCTGTTGGTCAAAGACCTTTCGGGTAGGCGTACGAGTAGACTAAATGTAATATAGATATTAGTATCAAACCGATAGAATGTAGAATCGGACGTATATAATACCGCAAGTTCGAGCGATTGCTGTATATCCTGTTGTGTTGAAGCCTTTTTCGAGGCAACTACACATGCGCGGCTAGATAAATGTGCAGCGAGTGACTTCGAACCATTTAATGTCGAGGATGGGTGCGAGAGCGCTTTTCCACACCTCCGACAGAGTGCCATTGGTTTCCCGGTTTGAAAGTGTGCTACTTGGTCAAAGTGGTCCCACGCAGCAGAGGTATACCTTGCTTCAAAGTTCACTTTATGAAGCGGAGGGTGTGGGTGAGCGCCTGCCGTATGGCGCCACCACTCAATGAAGTCGGTCTTATTCATTGCAGTCCAAAGAACCCAGAACATTTGATGTTTAGGACCGATACGGCGGAGATTTGGAGGAATCGGATTCGGCTCTGTTTGGAGGATTGAGGATTCTGGCCCGCTGTAGATTGGCTGCTGGCTAATTGAATGATCTGGCGTAAGGGGCTGTCAGAACAGGCTAAAACTGTATGGACTAGTATGCATTTAGGACGAATGAGATCAAGCGGAACCAATTCAGGATAAAAAGAATGATTGATTAATTAGAAAACATGCGGTCGAGGGCAGGTTGAAATACCCTCCGAAAGTGACCATACTCGGTGGTTATTATACCGAGATTGCCATTTGAAATAGTTTACCATACAAAACATAAGGAACTGTGGGTTCCTGAGTAACCAATCGGTAAGATACCACTCCATGCTCTGACAGGGGCTCATCAATAATGCCAATGCTATAGACTGAAGAAGGTGGAGGAATTCCAGCGTGGGACAATGTGATCTGGGATGACGGGCCAGCCTCAGCATATAGTTCGTATTGCGACATACTAGAATAACAATTCTATTGAACTAGAAGAGGGTTCAATAAGGATATCTCTAACACCTACCTTTACAGTCGCGAGAGTCGCGTTCGGCTACTAGCAGAGTTCAAACGAGTGATAGCGCGAAGATACATCACAAATAGGCTAGTACCCACTTATTATATGTTACTTATTGGTCTGTTCGACGGGACTCCCATATAGAAGGGAAATTGGTTAGATTTGGGGGTATCTACAATCCCCCACAACTTCAAGGGGAAAATTCTCACTTCTGAGCCTTCTTTATCCCGAAATTACTCAATAACCATGTAGTATGAATAGTTATTATAAAGTGAATATAACTAATTTAGAGGCAAGGTTTCTTATGGTGTGGTAATTAACTATAATTTGTTAAAATCTTTGTCAAATTTGTACTTTCCAAATAATATATAGAAAATGTAGTGTAGTACCTTTATGTAAATATATATTTCGCTCAACCACTTCCTTCTAATACCATATTTAAATCTCCCTTACGCCTATAAGCCACCACAATCTAGTATATAAAGTTTTTTTTTGAAGATGGATGCTTTTTGATATAGACTTGAGTCATTTGTTAACTCTATTATGGACCATGTCATATAAAAAAACCACATTGTTAGACATTGAGAGTAGGGACACTCATACGCCTGTAAATAACAGTATTTTATCTGATTACTTTGCAGTTTTGTGCAGCCGAAATAGGAAATCCTTGGCAAAATTATGCTAGCGTGGGACTACTAGGGTAATGGGACCGGAATTTTTTTAGTCCCATGGGAGTTGGCATCCGGTGGCCCACCAGATACAATTGAGCGGGTTAAGAAGCTTAATACTAAGCTTCTTAATGATATAGAGAGAATTGAGCACCTATCTAAGAGCGCACAAAGGCATATTCAACGAAGTATAGACGCAAATAGACCTGGCTAGGAACCGCGGGTGAACCTCACGAACCTCAAGGAGGTTCACCCACCCGGAGGTTAAGGTTCCATGACCTAGAACCTCCGGGCGGTTCTATCTTGGACCGAACCTCATGGAGGTTACCCGCGGGTGAACCTGAGGTTCAATAAGCATGATAAATAGGTTAAAAACGTGACTTGGGGTTAACTGTATAAATTATGTAGAAATAGGCTGTATTCTCTCGTAATTATAAAACAAAACTTCATTAATGTATGCCCTTACAGGAGGATTTAGTGCATATCATAGGTTCAGCTTCGAATTAGGGTTTCAATTTTCAATTATCAATGGTTTATATTACATCTATAGTGCAGTGTCGGCGATATATATATCTACAACTTTACATGCTATTTTATCGATAACCTCTATTGACAACCCACCACGTCGATATCATCAATATTACCTATAATTTGTAGGTGACCACGCCTCCTATTTACTTTTCGATGACTATATCCTTATAATTTATTATGTTGATGGAGTATTCAGTAAAAAGTCTATAGGTTGACGGAACGGCTGTAAAAACCAGAGATGAATCATCAATTTTATCCAGCCAAAAGAGGAAAGGCGTCAAGAAATTATGTATATGCAGGTTCATGCGGGTCGATGGAGGTCGAACCTCAAAGAACCTCTGGAGGTTAATGGGCGGTTGGAGGTTAGTAAGGTTGGAACCTCACCTCTTGAGGTGAGGTTCGAGGTTCCGGGGTAGGGACCCATGCGGAGGTTCAAAGCCAGGTCTAGACGCAAATACGCTTTTATCCCAAGAATTGGAATTGGTAAAGGCCGCTTTTAAAGAAGTCCTAGGCCCACAAATCAACTACATCTACGCCAAAAAATGAGAAATCGCTTCTTGGGACCAGAGGCAATATCCTATCACCTATATGTGCGAATAGGATGATGGCAAAACGACAGAATGCCGATGCTAGGAAGTTGAAGCGGCTACAGGCAAAGCATGCCAAGGAATTAGAAGCCCAACAACGGGCCCAAGAAGCAAGAGATTTATTAGAGGCTGAGCATGAAGCTTCAATGGCGGCAAGGTATAGTAATAGTGGAAATTGGTATATAGATAGTGGTGGTGGTTACCTGTAAATAGTATTTTCATAGGTGAATACATTGAAATTTGGTTATCTGGTGAAAAATGGCTATCTAGTGGGGCGCACCAACACATGGCGGTGTTGGGCGCTTGGCACGGTTAAAGCCAAAACCCTAATTCCAGTCTACTAGGTTGCGCCCACCCCCATGGGATAGGGGAAGAAGCGTCGGCAGTAAACCGTTTCCCAGAGATCAGAGCCCGCCTTTGGCACCGGTATCATAGCATGGACGGCAGTCTTCGGGGGTCGACCTCGACGTCGTGGGGAAGGCTAATGCGTCCGGACATTTTTTGCATCCAACCCTTAGAGCGAGTCACAAATCGACATTGCGTGCAATCGAGCCTCTCCTCCACTTTTAGGCCAGGCAACGCCAAGGACGAAGGGGATGGAATCTGAATCTTCAGCTGAGAGTGATCCGCTAGAGTGAATTCTTGGAGTCGTTTCTTGAGCACAGAGATTGCCTTGGCCGACTCAAGACCTAACCACTCCTCACGGTGACCTTTTAGGTAGGGATCAAGGTAGGCAGGCAGGATAGCATGCCGGCAGGGGATGCACGCCAGCACCTGGTACTCTGGGGAATAGCGTAAATGCTCCATGCGACCATTGTGGCTGTCGACGCGCTGAGCAAGCGAAGGCAGTTTAGGGGATGACGCTAACCACATAGCCAAAAGTAGGAGACTGGAGGGGAGGACGAAAACAAGGCAGGTGGTAGGGTGGTAGAGGCATCGTTTGGTTACTTGTCGATCGGAATGCCCCTAGATTGATCGATTGATTATCCTGAATAAGCTCCACTTGGACGCGTTGTCCCTGTGGCGATTCTGGGAGGAAGCAGGCACTACTGGGTTTGGTTCCCCCACACCCCAGGGGAACAATGGGTGTGTAAATAAATCTGAGGGAGGCCTGCCTCTTTTAAGGATCATGGACCAGGGTGTCAATTGCTCGTGTCGCAAATGACAGAAGGTCACCATCTTGTACGCGCTCTGAGGAGACCCATGCTTCCCCTGCATCAACCTCTAGGCCTGTCAGTCTGATACGAACGTCTCGCAAACTTGTTCAACTCCCAGCTAACATCAGCTAGAAACTCCTCCGCAGTTTCAGGTGCCATGAATTGATCATATTGGACGATAAAAGGTTCGTCCACAGAGCGCGGTCTTCTACGCTTGCGTGAATCAAACCCAAGTGCTTCAACTGCGCGTAGTTTCCAGTCGTCCATCTTTGGCCTTGATCTACCTCGCGGAGAGGAAGGAAAGCTATCGTCGTCTGAAAATAAATCATCTAGTGACTCAGGGTTGTGCTGCTCTTCCCAAGATTGTCCCTCTCGAGCCCGCTTAGGTGGATCACCGGGAGTATTTTGACCAGCCTGACTGTCTGGTTTTCTTGACACTGAAGGTGACTCCAACACAGTCATACTTGATAGTTTGGTCAGCTTGCTTCGTAGGTCGAGTGGTGTATCCTTGCCAGACGTCGTTGCGCTCTCCGAGGCGCTCTCCGACCATGGCATCGGCTCCACAAAAGCCATCTTGGCAGCCATGTTCTCAATACAGGACATCTCGTAGTGATGCCGCAGGGCAGCGCGATCTACAGACCTAGGCACGTTGGCGAGAGCCCCATGATACCCAAGAAGGACATCATACGGCATGAAAACTCGTATCTGAAGGGTCTTGGGGTGTATGGAGAAGAGCCGCGCGTCGAAAAGTTCATGGAGGTGGCTTAAGAGAAGAATCCCATTGCCCGGATCCCATGTATTTTCCCAGGCTTGCATCAAGCGACGATTACTGGACATTGCGCTCTGATGTTGTACTTCGCCGTCAACTGCTTCCGGGTCAGGATATAAATGGTAATGTTGCTGTGGCACAATATGACATGCGTGTAATGCAGGACCGATCGTCGGATTGGCGTACCACGACCGCCCCATGCCCGAGACAGCACACTGGCGAGCTGACGTGAGACATGAATCCCTGAATCTGGCAATGACGCGTTTGGCGCGTTCGGCCTGGATGTTTTCTTGGGGAGGGGTAACCATGTCGGGGAGATCGTCTTCTTCAACGGAAGGCTGGCCGCTCTCCGAGCCCTTATTCGGGGATACAGAACCAGAGGCTGATCGTTTTGAGGGTGATTGAGAGCCTTTCCGTGCCCGTGCGGTCTTTCGAAGAGGGTATGTCGCGAATCGAGGGTCAGAAGAGGGCTTCTTCGGCGGCAGATAGCGTGGTTCTACGCGACGGACTGGTTTGGAGATGTGTTTCGCGCAGCCAGCTATGGAGGTGGTTAGCGACAAGCCGTCACACACATGGTGCCGTTTACCAACCGATGAAATGAGAGTCCACTGGGTGGTCAGTCGACAGGGTGCACTCCCGGTGGATAAACACACGGTACTGAATTACCGGACGATCGTCTGGCATCTGCGATGTCCCTTGCGCAAGGACCGGGACTGGGTGATCAAAATTCTTGCTATGTACAAATGACGGGATAGGAGGGTTGTCGTCGGATATGTTTATCAAACCTGCCACGCCAAAAGCGACGTCATCCCAGATATTCGCAGAGCTGGTATAGCTGATAGAGTCCCATTCGTGGTGCGGGATTTCGAAACACAGTCGCATCTCATCCACGATGTCGCGGAAAGTCATGATAGCATTTCGGTCAGGTTGATACGTGCCAGCAAACAGAATGTCCCCGCGCGTCGCCAGGAGCTCGATGTTCCAGCCAAGCGTACGCATCGTCGGCGTCACGGTTGAACTGGACATCCTGGGTGGATTGACAAGACCCAGTGCACAATGGCTGGATTTGAAGGATCCGCTGAAGGATCCGGAAAGCACTGCAGTATGAGCAATGCCAAAACAACGATATCGTGTTGCTTGCTTAGGGCGGGGCTGCGGATTAGTGTTGATCCGGAGTGGTTCATTATTATCATTGGCTGCCCGCGCTGATGTCCCGATTATGGTGGTTGACCCAACAACCGAAACTTCGCATGTGGACACGAATGGACATCGCGCCACGGTGCGGTGCGTGCATGTGATCGTAGGCCGCAAAACCGAGCGCGGTTTGAATCACTCTGGTGGGTACCAATTGGGTAACAAACATTACAAACATACAGTGACGGTCCAAGTTTGGGGGAAAGCAGCATAAAACCAACTAAATTTAGCATCTCGAACCAGCGTTTTATGATTAGCCTGACTCAAGTCATCTTGTGGCTATCAAAAACCAGAAGTGCGACGAAACGGACAAAACCAGCCAGTCACCCCATGCTGTCCCGTTATGAGGACTGGTGTCATTGGCCTTTCAGCAGCGCTGGAAATGTGGGTCACCGCAGTGTCCGTCAATGGTCTTGTACCTCAGCAGTGTGTGATTTTCCTAGAGGACCTTGTCGCAGAATCTCCAAATATGTCACAGCCTCAGTGATGCGACCATAGTCGAAATGACTCGTAATGTTTAGATATTCTGCATCTGCTTGCCATAACTAGAACGGCCCCCATTCTGCGTCCCCGCCCATGTGATGGTACTTTCTATTGGCATGAGAAGCCAGTAACCTAGGAAATACATTAGTCATCCCTACAGCCTGCCTCCTATAAGTACAAGAAGTAGTAGATCCCTCACGAATGACTGACTCCACTCTGGTCTCTTTACTCACCTATCCCTCTTCTCTTAAATTATACTCGTCTCGATCAAAATAAGCCAGAAAGCTAGGCTGATGATAAAAATGGAAAATGACGGGGAGAAAATAGCGGGGAAGCGAGTACCCCTCAAGCGAAGCAGTGCGTTCTCCCCTTCCACTAATAGATAGGAAATGTGAGCTCTGCTGACAATTTTTTGACGTCCAGGAATGGACTTCGAAGATGATGACGAGTCGACAGAAGATTACTCTGAGTACAATCGTTCGGATGAGGATGAGGAAGGATGGCGGACGGAAAATGAGAGCGAAGATTCGAATGACGAACAGGAAATCGAGGAGCACGAATATACCACCTCCGATGACCCGGCACGACCAATTAAAATCCGGCTATTTTTGACAAATGAAGGATTCAGCGAATCTAAGTGGATGAAAAATTTTGTCGCCCAATGCACCTGCGATGGCGTCACTGTCGCCAACGCTCTAGCCCGGTATATTCATCGAGAAGGTGTTCGCCCTGAGTTCTGGGAAAGGATGGAAGAGCCCAGCGAGGAAACGTGCGATGTGGCCTTCCATATCTTTGATCGATATGGAACAGTCCAGGCCAAGTACAAGGACCACCCAGTGCAAAGAGGAACTGGTATATGGGGAAACGAGATCGATCATGGCCCTTTTTTCCTACTTGAGAAGCTTCATGTTACAGCACTCGAACTACGTCGGAAAGGACTCGGACGGAAAGTGGTGTCTTTACTATTGGAAAAGGCGGAAAAGTTCCTCCAACATGAAAGACCAGATGGTGAAGACGCGGATCTTATCTATGGGTCCGACGAGGCTTTCGAGCGAGCATGGACTCTTCACGCTCTAGTCAGTCCTGGATATCTAACAGCTGATATCGAGCCGCAGCTCAAGGGCAAATCCGCTGAAGAACGCTTAACAACAAAATATCGAAATCAATCTGGTGCTATCGACTTTTGGCGATCGTGCGGGTTTCGTCGAATTGGAGCATCTCGCTGTTTTGCATTATCATTCGATCTCCAGCATCAGTCTCGCGCATTGGCGGAGGCGTGTGATTTTGACCCACGAAGGAGTAATGCGGAAGATCTCGAGAACGAAGAGCTTGAAATGATTTATGAAGCAGACAGTTGGACTAATGTAAAGGAGCTGAAAATGGAAAGGCTTCGTGACGTGTTGCCACTACATCATGCAAGTCTCACGCTAACGGATGAAGAGCTCAGGGCTTTCTTCATCACTCATGCTGATGATAAGATTGGCTGGGATCGAGTGACGAACTCTGAAGCCACGCTTCTACATCTAACAGCTTGCGAAATCAAGCCCCTAAGTACGCAATGGCTACTTGAGAATGTCCCTCACGCCGACACTTGGAAGGTTGCTCGTGACATTGACGGGTACACCCCGCTCGAAGTATTACAGGAGAAGTTAGAGAAAATGAGAACACGAAAGGTATATGGTCTTTTCAGGGTACTCAACATATCGGATCGCTTTGAAGGAAACTCTGAAGCTGCATTGTCCTGTCTTTCACTGTTGTTTGGACGGGATACTTTGGGGCTTAATAAAGCATGCCTTCGATACGGGTGTACATGCGGCGACTGCGTGGGAGGTTTTATTTCCGCCCGAATGAGGACCTCTTTAACCTTTCAGGGCGAGCTTACGTATGACCTTATGCAGGAAGGAATTGATGATGGCAGCTTTTGGGTAGAAGACAACGACTACATCATCGTGCACCTCGATTCCGATGTGCGACAGAACCTCAAAAGCAACAAGTCATTACGAAGAGGCTTTGTGAATATTTTCCGAATTGCCGTTGAGTGTCTTAAGGCCAATAAGGTCCCAAGCGCAGAAAATCTTGAGTGGTGTTCAAACAACCGGAGCGAGTGGCCGCCACATTCCAAGAACTACCTGCGACGCGCTGGAACGCAGATGGGATGCCGGGCAGTGCTTCAGTATATGTTCAAAACTGCTAAGGAATGGGACGAGAAAGCAGGTAATGGAGAGTGTCAACTCACGTTGGAAAAAAAATGGTCAGACCTTCCAACATGTAGAAACGATCATGAGTTTGAATTCGTTGCCCGGGTTTGTGGTTACAGTGGGGTAGATTGCCTTTCGTTACCAGGCTGGTACATGTAAATCAAATCAGTCATTCTCCTCTCGAAGAATTGGTGCAAAACGATTATCAAGTCGCGTAGATTTGGCACGAGCGGCGGTATAGCTATCTGTGAGCAGTCGTTTGCCCGGTTCAACCATGATTGATATCCCAAAGAACGCAAACTCTGGACCCGCATCTTTCAAATCAATATTCAATAGACGTCAAATCTATCATATATATTTGTTGTACAGAGTCTTGTTGTCGTCAATTACGCGACTTGCGGCAAGCAGATGGTGAATGTCGAAGCCATTACGTGTCACTTCGACTATGGTCGCAACGATGAGGCTGCTGCGAACCTGGGAGATTTCACAGCGAGGTTTTGTAGGAGAATGACTCGCTGAGATCGCAAGTTCGCAGTTCTGAGCAGCACTTGCTTTCTGCGAGGTTGACTAACAGTATTAGCGTCACCTGGGTGCCCCGGAAAACGCTTCTGTAATTACGGCAATTTCCTTCCACAATATTTCAATCGGCCCCGCCACGGGGCCGATATGATCCAGTACCGTTTCAGACACCACGTAAGGTGCCAGCTGATTGGACAGTAGGTCCCGATTTGATATTCCAAGAGGTTTCATTGGCTGGAATGAAGTTTCCATCATGATAAACTTGATGGCTAGGCGCCAAGCGGCATATTGTACCAGCAATTCAAGAAGCTTGTCGTGAAGAGGAAGCGTTGAGAGTGTTAATATCTGATTTATATTCGACCGAATATAGTCCTTGGCCAAATGTTGACAACTTTGGAAGTTTTGTGCAGAGTACCTTTGTTTCGGAGAATACTTATTCCGAGAAACGTGATCGCCAAGCTAAGGCGGGATGAGAACCGTGGTTGTCGTTTGTGGAGCATTCGGCGTCCATAGCAGAAAGAGGCATCAAGATATCGAGCGGCGTTGATAGCTGAAACGCAGGGACTTCAGCAAAAGTGAAAATGGCACAGCTAACCTCGCTTCCCCTCGAATTGATACACTGCATTGCTCGCCAGGTAATCAAGGATACGTTGCAAATGTAAGGAATCCGCTGATGATCATAGCTCACGCGCAAATCCGATCTCAAAAACTTCTCTGAGGTCTCCAGAGACTTTTATCATATCATAACTCCACACCTATACAAGTCTCTTGTCTTTTCTACCAAGGAACTATCTCTCTCAAGTTTGTGCATTCAGATGGAGTCCGTGAATTGGAAACGGATGAAATACGTGCGGGAGATCGGGTTCCAAGCTCCATTCCATCACCGAAGGACAAGCCGTTGTATCCACTTTAACGACGGTGCGGACGGGCTTGTTTCTGTTGCGTCTAGCGGAAGTGATTCCGATGCCGTCAGTCTACCCCTTTATATTGAGGTCCTACCGCGGTGACCGTTAGCTGATAGGATATTTTAGTCCAGCTTACGGGACCCTTTCATGAGGCTCCTTACTTGTCTGGAATTTTTGTCATTGCCCGACAACCAGCTACGAAGTTTCCAGTAAGCCCTCTGATACTGTAATCAGGAAACAACTAACATTATTTTAGTTGGGAGCTAGGTACCTGTCTCCCAATAGATTTCCTAGAAGATTCTGGGCTTCAGAATCAAAAGGATATCGAGAATATCAGCCTGGTTACCGATGGAAGCTGCGGAGACACCGTCCAGAAACAATACTTTTTTGATCTTGTTCGATTTGAGAACCTAAAATATCTCGAGTGGAAGGGCCTCCAGCGATACGATGATTTTGAAGCCATCCGAAAATTAATGGAAACCCGTGGCGAACAGATACAAAGACTCGTTCTGGATCTTGTTCATTGGGAAAATGCCAGGCGAACCTGGGAAAGTACCTTCCGCCAATGGAACAGAGGCAACCAGCATCCTCGGTATTGTGCCTGGTATCAAAGCCAAACCCATGATGTGTCTCACGTCTCTGTCGTTATCTAGTGTCTCCTTTTATCACGAAGGGACTGAGATGGCTCGCGTCCTCAATTTTGCGCGTCTACATACCTTGAAGCTGTGGAATTGTCCTGGATCTTTGATACTATTGGATTTGGTAGTCGAATTTGCCGAAGAAATGAGCCTTAAAGTTTTTGAATTCTCATTCGATGCAGGGCATACCAACATGATTGAAGACACAGCCAATCCGACGGACCCGGTCAACAAATTCATTCGTCATCTACGAGGATTAACAGACCTTTTTCTCATGTTGCCAGAAAGTGTTGACTGGAATGAGATCTCAAGCGCGATACTGAGACATTCGAGTAGTCTTCAGCGCCTTGTTGTACACCACCTCAAAGACAGTGCTGATAACGTGGTATTTGATGGCCATATAAATTGGAGCCCGCAATGGGGAGAAATATTGAAGGCCAGGTCACTACAATGTTTTGGAACTTCCATGATACCACACGTCCTGGTAAAATCCATGAAACTGTATTTGCGCCGAATATTCGCTGATTATTGCTAGCTCGAAAATTGCGCTTCCCTGTCTCCGGAGCCCGTATGCAGACTTATCCACTTTAGGACAAATGGTCCATTTCTTGAAACACAAAGATACCATAAGCAAATGCTTTCCGATTACATGTTTGAGACGGCTGGGCTTGACAGTCAGTGTTGCATTATCCTTCCTGCGCTAGTCACTAATTAGAACCAGGACGGTATATCCCGATGTTCGATGATAGTCCCGATTTCGCGGAATTGGCATCGATAGCCCACGGCCTTGCTAAGCTCGAGACACTTGCTTTCGGGGACTTTTCATACGGGGGACGCTACGCCGAGCATAACAAGCTGCTTTGCAAATCAGAAGGCGGCTTTCGAATTTAAAGCGCTCATGAAATCCCACATTGGGAACTAGCCCAAAGACACATGGACATGCTGGAAGCATGTCCTCTCGATTCCATTATGGATTAGATTTGATCAAATCTGGTGGAGATTTCTACACGGCGAGTGACGAGGGGGGCAGCAAAGGCAGCAAATCTAGAACCTGGCCCTAAGATGGGATTTTTACCACAGCATGCGATGCGCTCGTATCGGAAAAGTGGGCGCCCCGAAGAGCCGCCTGTATATAGTCCACGTTGAACACCAGCGGTGTTCACAAACCCTACTAACAAAACGTACCCGGCGCTAAACCAGAATAGGACTAGCACCCGCTGGTATTCAGAGGCAGTCCCGCTGGTATTCATAACTTGTAGATAGTAACAACAACAGACAATACCATTACTTTCTTCGTGTTATATTGACCAACGACCGCTGAAATATGCCCCAGTCTAGAATTAGTACGTCACCACCCGTGGTTGGTGGAGAAAATGACATCCTTCCGTCACATGTTAAGGTCCTGCGAAAATGGCGGGTGGCTCTGTGCACTACCCACGGCAGCTGCTATACCTGCCAGAATCTGGCACGCCATTTACTTGAAAAGCATCGAACACCAAGTGATCAGCGAAGGTACCGCTCCGCACGAATTTTCGAACTGTTCGAAGTTCGCGAACTAATATCTAGCCTTTTTAGGAAAAAGGGTTTGTGGAACGAGTTTTCGAGATGCCCGGTCCCTACAAGAATTCTTCTGCAAATAAGGTCTAGAATATCAAACACCTGTATGCCCAAAAATCTATTACTGTATAACTATTAAGACTTCCAACGTGCAGCATCTTTCAGCCTTAATAAGGTCCCAAGGGTCTTGCCTTTCATGGAGAAACGTCGAATCCCCAGCACATCTCTCCCACCATTGAACAATCTCTCGATATCTACCTCTGCTGCCGGTAGAGCAAGGTGATCTTGTGCTACCTTTGCCATGCAACTAAATTCAAGCATGTTGGCCTTCCACCAGTTTCGTATAAACTCGGACTGACTCTGGCTTATATCGAAACCAGTGCTGATTGTCGCAGTATCGAAATACTTGTCGATATCAGACTCAGCGACGTTATATTGTGTAGGCTGAAACGCTTCCAGAAATCGATATTCGAAGCTCTTCCAATTGGTGCTTGGAGTCGTCGATACAGGCTGTTTTGGAGTGGAATATGCTTTCTTCAGGAACTCCCGGATTCGGTCAATAATGTTCACTCCATCTGGTAGCGTTCTGAGCCACTTGGTCTTGATTCGAGGGTCCAGAACGCTTGCGATATAGTATATGTCGTTGTCTTTGACGCAGTCGTGGTACTTCTCCAGGAGTGAGATTCCATCGGAAACAGGAACAGTTATTGCTGGTGAGACCTTCTGCCACTCGCCTCGTCGTTCCTTGATAGCGAGGAGTATATAACGGAGCTCTTCAAACATACGCGCCGCCATATGAATTGAAGGGCTATCCCGAGAGACGTACTCGGTATATTCGTTGAAGGGAGCCAGGATCTTCTTAATATCCGAGAGCTGTCTCCAGTCGTTGGGTGTGAGACGTAAGGCTTCGATATCTGGATCATCGTTGACTGTATCTTCGAGCTGACGGCGACACTCTTCAGCTCTCACAATCATAACAAAGGTAGAGTTCCATCGAGTATCAACATCGTAGTTGATAGCTTTTGTACAGCCAGGTCGATTATCCCACTTCTGTATCCGCTGAGGAGATCGCGCAATCCAAAGGACAAGTAGTCGAAGCTTTGCAATAGGCGAAGTAGGAGCGTTGACCGTCTTCCAGCTCCTCTTAGCAACATCATCAAGAAGATCACAGGCTTCCTTATGCGAGCTAGCGCGTAAAGACCTCAATATAGTTTTCATAACCAAGTTCAAGATGTGAGCGAAGCAGCGGATTTGGGAGTTATGGGTAAATTTCATCGTCCCTTCTCGGATGATAGTCTCGGCCAGGTACTCATCGTACCGCTGAGACAGCCTTTGGTAAAGATATCGGTGTAGGGTATCGTTATTCGATGCGTTGTCAGCTGTAATTGTCATAACTTTATCAGATATATGAAACCTCTCGAGAACCGTCGCAACGATATTAGCAAGGTTCTCTCCAGAGTGGCTGCCTTCAATTTCAACGAACTCAATACAAGCTCGATATTGCTGGAAGGCAGAGGACATCCAGTGAGCATTAATGGCTAGCATTGGCAATGAATTCTGACTTGTCCAACCATCCAAAGATAGCGCAATTGAGGATGCTGAAGACATTAAGATTCGAAGCTCACTGTCAAGAGTAGGCCTCGTAATGGAACCTCCAGAACCGCGGTTCTGACCCGCACCGCACCTCGGAGGTGCGGTTATTGGTGCTAGACCATGGAACCGCGGGGCAGTTCTAATATTTTTGGATCGAACCGCGGAGGTGCGGTTCGAACCGGAGGTTCCACAAACAGGACAAACCCAAGGAATCCCATGACATGCATAACTTGTGCAAGTTTTGACTGTATTTTTCAGTATTTCGCTTACGGATTAGCTCAAAGGTCAGATGAAAGCTTAGATGGAAGGTATATTGTGAAAGGTCAAATCAAAAAAGATTATCAATCTAAATTCTACTAACTCTATGGCTTTTCATACACAAAATCTTCATCTCGCCTTGAACGCTTTGGAAGCCGTCCTGATGAACGCCTCTGAGTACTGCTCTCTCCATGTATATGGATGTTGTCAGGTAGGGGAACTTCATCTTCTTTATCTAGGTCAATCACATGCTCTTGGGCTTCTGTGATGCTTTCTGCCCTTGGTCTTTTACCAAGCGCATGCTCACTCACCAGCTGGACGGTTTGAGATATGGCTGCTGAAGACTCATCCTCGCTGTCACTGATGAGATCAAATTCACACTCTGCCTTCCGAGCATCCTTTTCCTCCCTTGCTGCTTGCGTCTCTTGGGTGGTGAGATAATCATCCATCAGAGAAAGTTGTTCAGATTCCATGTCAAACTTTGTTGTACACATAAACAACATAAGATCCTGGATTGTTTTGGATTTCAGCGAGCCTCGACGGTAGTGACAAATATCACGGGCAGAGTTGAATAACCGCTCAACGCCAGAACCGCTAGCAGGGGTTGTGAGAACGTCGCGTGCTAGGCTTGCGAGTATGGGAAATTCATGCTGATGTTCCTTCCAGTATATCCGTGGATTCACTAGTTGGGTACCTATAACGATCAGCAAGAGAGGTTTGAGACAAAAGGCTAGATGAAATGACTTACTACTTCCGAGATACCGCGAAAGCTCGTCATGGGCGTTATTCTGCGGCCGGAGAGATGCGGTCGAGGTCACGAGGATATCAACATCAGATATTCCTCCTATCAAGGTTTGGCTACTCGATATGGACTGCGTCTCTAAATAGCGCTGCTAGTAGGGCACCAGGCAATTCTCTAAGCTCTTGCGGTATCGAACACGCCAGTATGGCTCCCAGTCCTTGCCAGAAAAGAACTCCAACTTATTTTGTGGCGCCAAGATTGTACCAATCGCATAGAGATCACTATCAATCTCACTGGTCAGCTTATAGTACTCTGAGAGCTTCGACCTCGCCGCGTGAATGGCAGATAGCCTCACTTTCTTCCAGTCAACCATCTTTCGTGCAAGTTGAGCTCTAGACTTCTCTAAATGAGAGAAGAGGGTGTTGTAGATTGCGAAGACACTGTGGATGGTGATTTCCTTGGTCTTGGAAAGGGATGTAGTGAAGGTAAAGAATGGCTGTGTGATTGAAAGAAGATAGTCAATCTGTCGCCATTCATCGTGGCTTGGTTGTAGCTCCCGATTGTCATATTGCGAGCAGAAGTCGCTGAGAACAGACTGTAGGCGTTTCGCACGCCGTAGCATCAAGTAAGTTGAATTCCAACGTGTCCAGACATCTTGTATTGGAACAAGCTTTGGCTCCTTGGTCTGAAGGTCTAAGAAATTCTCTCGGCGTTGAGGGCTTTTGTTGACGAAGATCGCAAGTCGTCGAATCTAGTAAACAGTTAGTCGTGGTAATGTTAGAAAGCATATAGTCTTACCTTGGAGAGGGTCTGCACGATCCCGCGGTTCTCTCGGCGCGTCCCATCATCTCTTTTAGACCATTCC